TGTATTCTAATGCAACGGCCACAGTCCTAGTAAACGGGCTGCAGTCAGATGAGTTTTTTCGTTATCCCGCTCGTTGAGGCAAGGGTGCCCACTTGCTCCCCTCATTTTTGTTATTCAGTTGGAAATCTTATTAGCTAACATTAGGACGAATGCTCAGATTGCAGGCCTCCACGTGACCCCCACTTTTCATTGGAAAGGGGGGGTCGTAGCGGACGACCTTACACTCCCGGGGGAAAGTCGGTAGCTAGCTTCACTGAGCTCCGTAGGGTCTTAGATGATTACTGCTCACTATCTGAAGCCTCAATAAACTGGGATAAGTCAGTGTTTTTCCTCCCCCCCCTTTTTGAGTTATGCGTGGACTGGGGACTACGTCAGATCCCGGCGAACTCCTCTGACAGATTTCTGGGTTTACAAGTTTCCTTCTCGGACTGTGCTAAGGTGCAGGACAATCTGCTGATGGATAAGGTGTTACCACGGATTGCTGGATGGGAACGGCGCACCCATTTATCATTGTTCGGGAGAGCGTTGGTCCTCTCCACGGCAGCCTTTTCTATCCTTTGGTTCCCGCTTACTATCCATGCGCTCGGAGACAAGGCTTATAAGAAGATCAAGGCTGCTGGAGCCAGATATGTTTGGAAGCCAGATGCAAAGGAAGACCAGAGTTTCATTCCTAAAGTTGCATGGGAAGCAGTGGCAACGCCCAGGAAGCAAGGGGGGCTAGGAATCCTGGACCCGCTACAGCAAAATGTAGCCCTGCTGGTCAAGTGGCCCATCAAAGCGATGACTGATCCAGGGGACAAAATTTGGAGGTCTCTGGCAGAATACATCTTGGGAACGGAGTGGGACCTGCAGGACCATACCAAAGTTTGGCTGTGCCTGCTGATACCCTGCTTCAGCAATCGCCGAATTCAGTCCAAGACCTGGAAAAACTTTATTAGAGCTTGGAGCAAACTCAGACCTTCAAAGAGCGTCCGACCAGCGACAAAAGAAGAAATTTTGAATCAAGTGCTCTTTGAGAATCCCTTTATTCTTCATCAAGATGGGAGTCACTTTTCTGCTGCTGAAGGAACGGGCAGTTTCGGCTTGAGTTGGATAAAGAAGGGAGTGCTGCAACTCAGAGATATCTGGGACATGGAGCACTCCAGATTTATAGATAACGCTCAAGTTAGGAGGTTGCTTCCCAGACTTCGCAATGTGGCGGCTAACCAGGCAGAGCTGCAATTGGCCATTCCTGAGGCATGGATTCGAATACTGCAACCCGACACAGAGCACGGGGCAGGGACCTGGCTCAGGGACAATGATCACTCCAACCGTATTTTTCAGATCCTGGGCCCAGATTTAGTTTCAGGCCTTAGGGCTCAGAGATGGATGCTATCTGCACAGAGACGTAACTCTGGTCACTTAACCTTGGAAGACTCCAACTGTCATATCTTCAGCACAAGAGAAATGGTGGAAGTGCGTGTACACTGCCAAACAACCCGCCAAGGCAAACAGACGGCATCTCTTCTTAGTGAGGCCGCTCCGTTCAGAGTGGAACCCCTTCTGTTGGGTTGGGATATCCCGAGTGATCAGGGAAAATTTGTACCTCTGTATCAATACCGTCCCAAAGTAGGGGTACAACTTCAACAGGAGAATCTGAAGAAAAGCCACTGTCCCTGGCCTTGAGACGAGCTGAGTCACATCAGATCTCAGGATACACGGAACAAGGCCTTTGTAAGCTGTGGCAGGCGTTAATGAAATTTCCGGTTCAGCAGCAAGCCAGCATAATGTGGTTGCAGTCCTTAATGGTAACAGCTACAGCGATATGGTTATCAGGCAGAGGAATGGATCTCTACTCAATGCGGGCGATGTAGCTGGGGATGGGAAAATATGACCCACCTTTGGCTTTGCTGTCCACTGGCAGACGAAATCTTGATGCGGTGGAAGACTCATTGGGACAGAATAGTAGCACAGGCCTTTGAGTGGACGGACCACTGGATGCTTACCGGACTTCTTCCTGCAAATCTGTCATACTCGACTGGCTGGGGCTATATGGCCCTGTGCTGCAGAGGAGTGATAATGGAGGTTATATGGACTGCAAGGAATGAAAAGGTTTTCAGAGGAGAAGACATGCCAAGGGCTCAGCAGCAAAAGATGATTAAACAAGGAATAAGGAGAATAATGCAGGCGGATTGGCACAGGAAGAACTGCATTTGGTTTCAAAGGACCTGGGCATATAAGAATAGGCTAGCTACAGTAAATGCTGAAGGTCGTTTCTCGCTCTGTTCTTGGTTGGCAGACTCGCATGATTAAGTCCGTTTAGCTATCGACTGTTTGTAGATAGCACCTATTTTGATCTAGGTATTGGATGGTAGTTCAACTGGTTTTACAGAAGTTCTCAGGCTGTACGTCACGATGGGTTTTAGTTTCAGCCTCCTTTTACTGTTCTTCAAGGTCAATTTTTGAGGAGTTAACTTTTAAGAGTTAGTTTGAGTGGTATTGGGACGTTGGACCCGGTTTTCAGCTGATTACTACTTGGTTCTCCGGGTAGAATTGTGAGGTCCCCGGCCTCGACCACCTTTTGGAATAAAATGTGATAACTTCTCAAAAAAAAAAAAAAAAAAAAAAAAAAAAAGAAACCCGGGGGCGGGTTTTTTTTTTTTTTTTTTTTTTTTTTTTTTTTTTTTTTTTTTTTTTTTTTTTTTTTTTTTTTTTTTTTTTTTTTTTTTTGGGAATATCTCTCTTTCCATGCTCTAGGGAAAGATTCACTCTAGCAGAATTCTTTTCTTGTTTTTTTTTGTCGTTCGCCGAAGTCTTTTCTGTTTTTTTGTCGTTTCTTGGCCAGCGGCGGGGCCAGGGAGGGCCTCGCTCGACGACTCTCCACATGCACCAAAAACAATGAGAGTGAATCCTCTGTCAGAACATGGGAAGATACACCGCCAATTTATTAATTTTTTTGGCTTTTGTACATGGGGAGAGTTTGTGGAGTCAGGCCGTCACTACAAATGTGGAGGGGCCTTTTTTCAAGTTTTTTAGTTCTTTAAAGTTCTTTTCCTATACTCGTTAGGGTTTTTTTGTTTTTTTTTTGTTTTACATTCATTAGTACGTTTTCAGGAGTTTTTTGTTAGTTTTTGTCCATTTTGTTTTGTCGTTTTCCTTGCTTGGTAGATTCCGTTTTTTTTTGGGTTCTTAGCAGCAGCAGTGTCGGGTGAAGCATAGGGCCTCGCTGCACTACTCTCAAAATGTGCAAAACGAGAGTGAATCTTCCGCTAGAATATGGAAAGATACACGGCCATGATTTTTGTCTTTTGTGCATGTCCAGAGTAGTGCAGCGAGGCCCATATTCTCACGAGGGCTTTCTTTGGAAAGCTGTGGGCGTGCAGCCCGATTTGTCCGCATCTGGCCCTAATTGCTGTCAAGCGCAGATCCCCTGATGATGGCCACTTCGGCGAGGTGGCCGAAACATGTCGGGAATATCGCCAAGCTCGCTCCATGAGTACTCATTGTATAATTTTTCGGAAGCGGGTCCCTTTTGCGCTACGTTTGTGTTGTGTCTCTTTTCTTCTTCTCTCACCTTCTCTCATCTTTCTCACCTTCTCTCCTGCTTGGGTACTTTCTCTCTGTCTGGCTCACGGGACACTGATGGTTTTGAGACTCTTACCTGCACGCACTGGTTTGAGCCTTGGGCTCGACTATCGCGGCTCAGCAACGACGACTTCAATGTCTCTGGCCTGTTCAGCCTGATTCGTTTGCATGTGGCCCTAATTGCAGCCAGATGCTTTTCATAAAGTTCTAGCCTGACAGGATAGGCCATTGATATTAAAGTTCTAGCCTGTTCAGAGCGCGGCGACTGCTGGCAGCGGCAGCCGATGGTTGTCCTGACAGGATAGGCCACCTACCCTACCCATCCCCACGTTAATACTCCCAGCGCACCCCCTGTCCCTACTATCCTACCTCAGTGTCACTGTGACCATCACTCAGGACCGTCACCCTACCAGTAAGTATCGAGGGCAACCTTTTATTTTATTTTTTTATTATTATTATTATTTTTTTAGGGCAACTTGGACCAAACAGTAGTGACAAGCACCAAGACCGGGACAATCCCCCAGCCCTACCGTCTTCACCGGAATAGAACGCCCGGTCATTATCACTGTATCGAGACTGAAAGTTGCACCAAGTACAGCTATAATGACCGGGTGTTCTATTCGGGTGAAGACGGAGTTGGAAGCGGAAGCGGACAAACCATGCCGCACGGGACCCCTTTGGACGCGAGTCCCATGCAGTCTTCTACTCTTGCCTTGGTCCCGTACGGCAAGGTTCCGTCCAAAGGGGTCCCGTACGGCCCAATATCAGCATTCAGAGCACAAATGGGATAATCCTATTCATAGGGGAGGATGTGAAAGCCACAAAAAGACTGGACCGTGCTATTTCTTAGGGCATACTCACGTTAAGGGTTATTTAGCTTTTTTTTTTTTTTTTGGAGCTTTTTTTCGTTACTTCCCGTGCAAAGCAGTGCTGTTTTCTTGTAACATTTTTTTCGCATTCTCCTGGATGGAGTTTCTCGGCCAGATGCACCAAAGTGGGATTGCCCGTTGAGCATTGTTTTTTTTCCTGTTGTCCCGGGGGTGGAGTTTTCCCCTTTTCTGCTTCTTTCCTCTTGTGCCCGGGGTGGGGTGGAGTTGGCGCCGGGCCGCGGCTTCGCCGTGGGGGGCTGACTTGTTTATCTAATACCTACGGATGGGTTCTATGCAGCCCCTCCTCCCTCCTCCCTCCTCCCCGTCCTCCCTCCCCCCTCCTCCCCCTCCTCCCCCTCCTCCTCCGTCCTCCATCCTCCGCCCTCCATCCTCCGGCTTCCCTCCTCCTCCCTCCTCCGTCCTCCCTCCTCCTCCACCCTCCCTCCTCCATCCCTCCTCCCTCCTCCCTCCTCCCTCCTCCCTCCTCCCTCGGTCTCTTTCTCATCTAGCTGACACTTGAGTTGCATAAATGTTTCTCTGTTTTTCTTGTTCTTGTTCTTGTTGCAGGCAGCTGCCAGCTATGGGATTGGAGCTCTAGGCAGGTCAGGCAGTTATGAGCCGCACTTTTTTACCTTGCTCGCTCTTTTCTCTGTCTGGATATGAAAACATTGTAAATACAAATTCCAATTGAACCTAAGCTTAAAAGCAGAAGAGAATCCCATAACTGACCATTGATTACGCAAGAATCAGTCATTCAAGACTCAAGAGTGATTCTCATTTTCTTTTTTTACTGTGTTTTTTTTCCCTCTCCCTTTTCATGCCCATTTCAACAGGAACTGCCATGCACTGAGAAAGAGGACCCCCTCCTCGCGAAATCACCATGAGAAATGGCTTTGTTTATGTAATCTGAAAGAGGCGGGGGG